GTTCCTCCCTTGCTTTCACGCTTTTAATTTCTTCGCAGGTTTTTTGGCCCGACAAGATTTGTGGCCCTCCTCGTTCCTCGTTAGATCGCGTCTTTTTCCAAATTGGCCACCGTCTACTATCTGGCAGCCAGCCTTCGCGAGCAACCACCTTCTTCAGAGGACGAAATCACTTCTTTTTTTCTTTCTTACTGTTCAAAATTGCCGGCTTTAAATTTACTTCTGTAAATGTACTTATCTTAGAAATAGGAATAACCCTTGAGCCTAGATTTTAGATTAATCTAAAACCTGCTGTTTTAGCAATTGGAAATCATTTTTTTTTTTCATTTAACGTGTAGAGGACGTTTTAAGCGAGCAGGCTGTTCCATTCCATTTTGACGGGCAATTTTAGCAAGGCTCGTTTTGAATGCGCGACCAGTCGAACATCAGTTCAGAATGTAACCGTCAATCATTCCGCAAGGGAAGAGGAAGCCCGCGGCGGTGCGCTATTCTTTTTCCTTTTTCTCCCTTGCCGGCACTTGACCTCGCGTCACTCAGCTTAGCGTGAACAATGCGGACGATTAACGAATCAACGGAAGAGACGTAGCCGCGGAGTGTTCTAGTACGCTTCGTGGAGCGGAAGTGATCTCCGTCGGTTCTGCCCCACCTTCGTCCAGGTTGCAAGTATCGAGTTCTGCCCTCCTCCCTGGCCGATCCGATGTGCAACGCTCCCCCACGGCAATCGGTGATCCGATCAACCGGAACCTCTCGAATTCAACCGAGCCAGTCCACGAGTATCTCGCTGAACACTGCTCCTTCCACGGCATCCACTGCCAATCATCCGTTTACTCGGACGGGCCTAATCCCTCGAGCACTCTTCTTGGCCATCCACGGCCACCACCAGCAGGCAAATGTTCCATCGAGACGCTGGATCAAGAGGGTTCCTTCCGATGCTGCTTCAGTCAATCTTTTCGTGTGACAGTGAATTTAGAGAAGAATCATTTTATTAAGAAACCATTGGTATAACCATCCAGGTGTGTCCAGATCCTGAGCACAAGTTTAATCGACATATGCAGTTTTCACTTCAGGCAGCTGGAAATAAAATCACAACACAGGTACATCTGATACACTTCCTGCCAGAGGTGCTATTATTTAACCAGCAAAGTCACATGGACAGGTGGTGCGGAGGATTCACACGGGGCCAACAATTTCTCACATAATGGTATCAATAACATCGAAACTGGCTCACTCCCATCGCTATTGACGATAATTTGCACAATGGCAGGCCACTCGAGTTACACGTGGCTCCATACACCCATCGCTGAATTATCCGACGTTATTGAATCTCCGCGGTATTGAATAAGTGCGACGAAGCCTGTCGTGTCGTGATACCCACGCTTCCGATCCCACTGCGGATTCACCTGTGCGGACGTCGTACTCGCAACGCATCAGAAGAGTTCATCAAATTTTTTAATAATAATCACCAGCCGTGAAGGTGCACTTGCTTTCTAATGTTAATTAGAACCGATACTGCATCGGTTCGAGCATTGTTATTATGATTACCCTTCTACTCTTGGATTTATAGGGTGTCCTATTTGAAAACTATATTCTACGGGATAATCTAACTTCAGAAAATAAAATATCAAAGATAACCTTCGTATCTTCACTTCCTAATTAATTATTTCTGAAGAAAAAGAAATAAATAAAAACGAAGACAATCTTGAATGATCGAAAGGTAAGGAGCGAAGAGTCCGAGGAAGATTGAGAAGCAATCAATCTTTCATCAACAGAAGAAACGACTGTTTCATAAATATCCCTGCACCTTTGATCGTACAGCTCGACGATGAGATTCGTGACTGGCTTCGTCGAAAGAGGCAAGGAATAAAAAGTAAAAGGGTTGCCTTCTCGATCGGTGTTTTGACAGGAATATGGGCTTCTTTCGCGAGTTCGATCCGCTCGTTACGACGGCCGACTAGGTCGGATCATCCGTAACCGACACCTGGAGGAATGACTCCTTTTCCAGGACGTTCGGCCCGCAACGGATATGCGCTCAGTCATCATCGATTCCTTCAGCGAGCCTTTGATTCTCCTTCCATCTACCATGCTTCTACTTTTTTTTTTTCTTCGCCCCTGTCTATTTCTTCGTTGGTCAAAAACCGATTGGACACACGGTGTTTCTCATTCATCGGACCATCGGAAATGTACAGTTGGTGGAAACGGTACAGCGCGATGGTGAAGTTAAAATTAAAATGCATTAGTAGGTGGCGCCACTTGATTGCTTTACAGAGTCATTGGAGAAAAAAAAAATAAGTTGCAATTTAGTTCTATAATTGTAAAATTTCCGAGATGCAATGTTCCAAAATAAGAATCCCGATCTTTCGGTGTTAGACTGCAGAGATAAATTTTCAATTTGTAACCAAGTTGCAAGCAATTATTTTTGTATTACGATTACGTTCGAGACGTCGGCTGTCATTTACAATTAACTCAATTGGAAAAAGAAGTCGGCCAAGCTCCGCAAGCTAAAAGCAGAAGACCGATAAGAAACAGCCCCTAATTGATCACGAGAGAAACTTTACAAATGACGTTCTAATATTAGCTACGAACGTGTCCGCGTATATCATTACAGCCGAAACTGACACTTTAAAAACTGTCCGGCGAAATGATACAGAGGACTGATATACTGGCGAATATAAAAATAAATTTAGAAACGAGCATGTTCTGTAACTTATAATTTATTAGAGGAGGACTCTTTTGATGCCATAAATTCGTCGCCAGACGTCGCGAGCGTTGCATGAGCCCGCCATATTACACATTCATAACCTTTACTTTTAATTTTTTTTCCTGTTTCAGTTATCTGAGGGATTTCATTTAAGAATATATAAAATTAATTAATTATGATAAATTAGTACTTAACTTACATTATTTTTATGAAGACCCATGAGTTGAGTTATCAATGCAAACAGACGTAATTTGGTAAAAACTGGAATTCCAGAATCAAGTGGACAGATAATGTTTCCGCTAATAACTCGACCAGAGAAAACTGATCAGGGCAGCGTTGCTCGTTTCATGCAACTTGACGAAGAACAAGGCACCGCGTGTTTTCAGAGCCGCTGCTATCGATACATCTGCCATTTGTCACGTCAAATTACATTCGTTGACCGAACGATTTATGAGATACACGCCGGACACGTCCACCAAACGGATGGCCACGATTTAACGCCGATCCTATCGTTAAACACGAACAGTTCCGTGGTACCTGCGCGTCTCCAGCTTACAACTTGTAGAAACTGTTCCCTCCTATCATCTTCCGGTATTTCTGGACTAACTCTTCATAGAAATACTATTTCTCCCTTGTCTTTTCCTTTCTTAAATTAAATTTGAAAAATATCTTTCAGGATTATAATTTCGATACGATATTAACATTTATTAAGTGTACTTTCATTGCTAATATTGTCACTTTGATAACAATTAAACAGAGAAAATTCAATATCCTAAGATAAAATTGTTAAAATGAGAATCGCTGAGGTCACAGAAGCAGTTCGCAAGTGTTTCTAGTGAATGAAATCCTGCTTCGATGACGGAGAGGTTCTGGCAAAGACGGGAACACCACGTGCAGTGGCCGTAGGTGTTGAGATTCCAGGGGCAAAGAATAGAATGTTAAATGCACCGTGACTTATTGGGCCAGTGGAAAATGAGATTTGGACATCGATAGTGTGAACGGTGATCTCATTCCTGGGAACACAATGCGACCTGGCACTCGCTTGTTTCTCCGCTGAGACACGGCATTGCAAATTCTTTAGTTTTCATTATCTTGCAACCCTCTTTGATACTCAAAACGTGAAAACAATAGAATCTTTAAAAAGTGTGAAATTATTATAATGTTGGTTATATTAGAATGGAATACGGCGTTGCAAGATTTATCCTCAACTTAGAATTGACACTTAGACTGCGCAATAAATAAAATATGATATGATTTTAGAAAAAAATATTTTAAAAATGAATCTGGACTTAATAAGGTTCACACGATGAATCGTGCAAAATACAGGATGTTGTGGGTTCTCATCGATTTAAGGAATGGTTAGAAAAAGAAACGGACCAGCGGGGAAAGAAATGCTTTCGAGGGAAAAAGAAACTCAAAGCCAACCGACGACGTAATCGATACGTCTCGAAGGTTTTTACCTGATTCAGAGTTATTGGATGAATTCGAATATAACTGAGTCACCTTGCATTTTGCTTCTTCTTTCAAAAAAAAAAGGATTTCTGAATTACTAACCTACCCTATAACTTACAATATTATTAAAAACAAATGATTTACAAGCTCCTCGGCTTAACACACATGCTGCCTATAGAAATGAATTCCATGTTTCTTCTATCCTGTTAAATAAATGTGGCTAAATCAAGGCCCATCAATAATAGCCACTCGGTTAATTTACATCGCTGGATGGTCGCTTGTGTACGCGATGGAACAAAGCTATAATTATTAGTGCGCGGCGTCTGTGCACTTACCATGGTCATTTATTAAGGGGCACACCCTCCATCCCGCACCTCGGACGCTCCACGATACGTCGCGACGCCTATGACACACACCTATCCTCTACTCCCGACCAGATTATGAACTGCCGGCGAAGATGAAATTCCTTTGTTCTAATCCGCGTCCGCTGCCCGTTCATTTGTCTGGTGCAGGTGCATATATATATAGACCGGATCAGAACCAAAAGTTCATCATTGGTCATGGAGACTATTAATTGTAATTTTCTTTTTCTTTTAGTAAGTTTCTGAAACTCTACGTTGTCACGATTCGTTTTAAAGATAGTAGATTTACGATTTTTAGTCACAAATATTAAAGGGAATATACAGGATGGACACCCTTGGAGGGGATGGTAGCTGGGGTGATTCTTAACAATTTTTTCCTTTACCAAAATGTTTGTTAAGGTTCGGTTTTCAAATTATTAATGGAAAACACCGACCGATCCGAGCGCGCCTAACGCGCATGCGCGGCCTCGAGAGTGTAAGCTACGAACCGATGTGCCGAGTAGTTTGTTCGTGGCCGTGGTCGAGCGTGCTTCTCGTAGCTAACACTTGCGCGGTCGAGTCTGCGCGTCACGCGTACTTTGATTGGTCAGTGTTTTTTATTAATAATTCAAAAACTAAACCTTGACGCACATTTTGGTATAAAAAAAGTTGTTAAAAATCATCCCAGCTACCACCTCCTGTAAGGATGTCCATCCATAACCTAACATTTTGTACAAACCCCTCGATGGGGTTATGGCCTCTACTAAGGGTCAGAATAATATTTCAAGTCAAGTAACTCGATTAATCTAAAAGTCGCGGAAATGTGATTTAATTGTGAACTAAAGTGAACACCGGCCAAATTCTCGTATAGGATTACGTCTGGGTTATGGTAAATGATTGATCGAGCACAAGTGTTCATATGGCGCGCATCAAACACTAAGGAAGAACTCCAATATCTCAGCAAATGAGAGAAAGAAGAGAATCTTCATTTACCTCCTCAACAGACAGAGTAAGTACTCGTTCATAATATTCTTACAATTATGAGGACACTTTAGAGTTGAAATTAATATTTGCGTTCTAATTGTCACCGGACACGAATAACCTATTGTTAAATGCATCTGTTTCCTGAGGATCTCTTTAGATCCCTCACAACGAGTAAAGTGTACTTTTCTCTTTTATATTTGAACATTTGACATTTTTCTAAATAAATTGGCGACTTCTTGTGAATTATTTGGGGTTAAATTTTAGAAAAATAAACATGAAATTTTAGTTAGATCTTCTTCGGTCTTTATACAGATTTTTGAAGGTTAAAATATAATCAAGGATAATCATACGTTCAATGGAAAAAGTTTACAACGTAGATTAAAAATGTTTACATTTCAATGAGTATATTACATTTCATAATCTTTTCACGAAAAATACTCTCGAAAGATAGCTAGTGACCGCCATCTGTCGGCGAGACAGCGGACTGCCAGCGTGTTTTTATTCGTTTCCCGTAAAAAGGCGGGTTTCGCGTGACCTTAGCCCTCTTCGTGTTGCAACTGGACCGTGCCAAAATTTCCGGCGAACCTGTTAACCTGATACGTAACCGGTGAAGGCTTACCTTCTACTTTCGATCATCGTTTCAATAGAAATCTTTTATGGACAATAATTTTTAGAATTAAATTTACGAAGCATCACGTTGATTTTAGGAAGTTTCTTTAGAACTTAATTTTCGTCATTTTTAGTCAAAGTATTGTATTTAGTCTCCAGAGGTAGTTTTAAGTTGTCTCCTGTGCTGAAGGTGTTCAAAAGTAAATTACTATTAAGCGATATCAAAGCCGAAAAGTATTCGAGGAAAAGAGCTTTAAAATTTATGAACCGTCGTTGCTTTCGAAACGAGAGCATCAAGGCAAAGTTCAAAGCTAGATTCCTCGACGACAGGGGTAACGAGTGTCCGGCAATCTTCTAAAGAGAAGTCTTCCTACAGTCCTTTTCCGTACTGTCCTGGAGCTGACTCCCAGGAGGAGCCAGTACCCTAGGTAGACCAGATTTATGTGCAAAACTCGGAAACGTCCCCTTCGTCCGAGCTGACGGGGATGCAAGAAACGATCCCTCAGGAGTGCCGGATAAACTTGCCTCTAACGATCGATGGATCTGCATGGCAGTCAACTATCCCTAGAAATTTCAGCTTGAAATTTTCGCGAATCTTGCGAAAAATGTTTCGGATAAAAGTTGATATTTTGAAAAACGCAACTTAAAAGGGAAGAATTTAGAAATTTATCAGTGAATACGTGTGTACGTAGGATATGATGGAGGCGTATATTTTCCAACCGACTTGTTTGTTTATACATTTCGAATCCCTTTGAAGGATTAAGGAAGATTTCGCTCGTGTAGAGGATTATAGTATCACGAAGATCAAGTTGAGGCAGGTTGTCCACCAACACGAGGAAACAAGAATGTTCAGCTTAAGATTCCACGCGTTCCAGCTGTCTTCCAAACATAAGTAATTAGTTAATCTGAGAATTATACGGTACAGATAAAATCGCGGAATATTCATCAGAAACTTTTGCGTAACGTTCTTGTTACACGATTCTCTTCGATCTTGAACTTAAAAAATCCTTTTATATCTAACATTTCCATGCATTTACAAATTTTCGAGCATCGAAGCATCGTTTTTATAAATACCATTCTATAAAAATTATTCTGGCAAAGTATCGGCCAGCTGTTCTCCAGAAATTAAACATTCCGCGCAACAATGTTACATTCTGTAATATTCAGCTCGTATAGCGATTGTGAATGCGCCTTCAGTTTTATTTCAATCCTTTCTGCTTCCATTTACATGACTTTCTCTCTTTATGCCTCTTAGATGATATCGCTGTTGCTTTTCTTGCGACTGAATACATGACTGGAACCTATAAAATGGTGGATTTTGTCGAGGTTGGCTGGCGTAAATATTAAAATTTAAGTGGCAACAGCCATGTTTAATATTCTCCGCGATGGTTACCATTAGCCTTAAACATATCTCGTCAATTTATTGAACGAGGATCCCCATCGATTATACGACTGTCGGAATGTAAATTATTAATCGGTTAACGAGGTTCTAAAGACTGTAAATAATCGCTGGTACCGTAACTAGCATAACCAGTACGTATGTACGGATGGATTAAATGTAGGTGCTCGCTGGTCGAGTCGTCTAATTGTAATTTCCAAGGGTCGTGTGATGCATTAGAAGACGAGCACGTATGTGTGTTTCTGTGTGCGACACGTCAGCCAATTGCGACGATGTTCCGTGTGTCCTGCGTGGGAACCGTCCAGGTCACGCGTCTAAGAACCGCGGCCGGAATCGTCAAGTGGCCATCGCCAGAACACGCCGTCGCGTTCGCTGCAACGATCATCCCGACAGTCACCACTAGGGATATCTATGCTTTTTCCTACTGCACTCGAATCGTCACGTTCGCGGGTACGAAAGAACGAGCTATTTATTCCATAGTTCGTACTCCGTTCGGGCCAATTCATCGGACCGACATGACACGGAATCCGGAAGCGATGTAATAATAGACGCGGGACAAGCGGGACCGGTGAGTTTTGACAACAAGACACCGGCTATCTTGGTTATTTTGCAGCCGGGGTTAGACACCTGCTTGGCCTTCTCACAGCATGACTAGGGGATTTCGGAAATATTAACGTAGGGATCGTTGAGTTACAGCACCGTCTGTTCGATAATTTATCCTGCTGGCAATAAAACCGATATCGCTATATTTTTATTATAAGATATTATTCTAGCCGAGTTAGGTCGGATTAGAGCCTACTCCATGGAATTGTGATTCGAATCGCAAGGTGTTTTCTACAAGCCATGATACAAGTCTTCTTCTTTTTTCGACTGAGTTACACGCTGATTTAAACTTTTGGTCACTTCGGATAGATAAAAATGCAAGTTTTGCCACATGAATGACGGGAATACTGATTTTCGATAACAAATACGAGGCGAACTGTCGTTCGGATGTGGTTGAGACACATTTGGAAGTGACGTTTTCGATTTTCGACTCATTCAAAGTCGTGGCGACACTCGGATATCAGGAAACTGCCAGGTGAATGAATAAAACAAAGAAATAACAGTATCCAACCGGTCGAAATTATTCCTGCTTTTACGATCAACGAAAATAAACCAAGGCAAAATCATTGATACATCTTCATCGTTCGAAGTTCTTCGAAAAATCAATCGAAACTTTGGAAATGTTCGATTTTATAAAAGATCGTATAATATCCTCGATAACGTTCGTAGATTATTCCACGTTTTCTTTGAACGTCGCAATTTTGTTTCTTTCGTACTTTCTTCCTCGAGTCGCTCTTAACGCGATAGATTTACGTTCCGTGTGACAAACACCTGAGCATATCCATCTATCCACCCATGATCGAGCTAACCTGCAGCGTTGTAAATACATACGTATACGAGGAGGAGAAAGGAAAGTGGTGAAATTTGGAAGGTTACCTCGGCTAGAATCAATCATACGACGATTCGATCGAAACACGTGAATCATATTCATATCTGATTGGAATAACAAATGGGATGGAGGAAGGATCGCGAGTATTGTTATGCGGCAACATGACGAGCCGCTGGCATTCCGTCATGCTCGCGTTTCCCAGATCGAAATAATGCTATGCGGACATTATAATCGTAAATATGGGGCCCCCGGCCCCGTTAGGAATCCGCCTGGCACCCACCTATTTCAAAAGAGAATCATAATTTATTATTACACCGGCTATGAGGGGAATAACAATCGGTCGCGAACAACTCTTCCGAGAACCAGGTCGAGTTTCGATCGATCTTTGAATACTTACGCGACTCCCTAACCTCATCTTCATGTTTTCCTATATTTCCTTCAATTCTCGTAAACATTTCTTTCTTTTACGTCGTTACGTGACATTTATTTCAATCAGCACGATTTTGGTGACTTCGCGTGCTATACGAAAGTTGTATTCTCGAATTGACGCGGTACAACCGATCGGGTGGTGTACAGTGGACCACGTGTTACTTGCCTGCTGTAATCCTTTATCGAAATATAAGTCTTACGGTGCTGATATTTAAATTCCATAGAAAGTTAACCCTTTCTGGGGTAAATTGATTAGATTTTCAAGGCATGAGGTTAAGTGTCATGGCGTTATTGTCAAAGCTTCAGAGTTGCGTTAAAATGGCCGAAGCCATTGTATCCGATTCTGAGCAGAAAGGGTGTATTTCCGTCGAAGAAACAGTTCAATCGAATTTTTCTCGAGCATCGTCCACTCACCCATTCCGCGCGTGGAGCTTATGGCAGTTATAGGGGCGTCCGATAAATCGAAGGAGAACAGGCTCGGAATAGCAATCTAGCAAGTGGCCTCCAGTGGACGTGGCGCGACATTGAAAGGAATGTAAATGCGTTATGAACACCGGCCCAGTTCTACACCGTGTCACAGCTCGTCCGTGGCTTACAGATTGCCCCATAAACGGACCTGGCCGGTGGGCGTTGTACGTGATACCGAATGCTTGAGAATTTCGTCGGGAAAAACCGTTTGAGAAGAGGAGACCAACGAAATTCTGCCCTCCCAAAATCTAGCGATAGCTGCTCGACGCTATTTTTCGCATTTGTGAACAAATTCTTCTGAGTCAACTTAGCCAAGTTACAATTGGGTGTATAGTTGTAATTATTTATTGGGTCAACATAGATGGGTCAATATTGAAAATTTTCGAAGAAAAGAAAAACCAGTAGAATTCATCTTACTGTTTCGAATCCATCGCTACTTCAGAACCGAGTTTCTACATTCGGGCCACGTGGTAACTTTTTGAATATCGCACGAGATGTGACGCTTGACACGAAGGATTTCTACAAATACAAAATTCTTGCGTATTTCGGGTCTAACACGTGGAACGTCCCTCTGATTGCCGAATTTTTTCTCACGGCAAACTTTCATGAATATAAAAACCTTCGCATCTCCGTTCGATAACGTATCGGTCTCACGTACGAAGTAAATCGCAAATCGGCACTGAATATG